CTGAGCGGCCGGTGTGTCAGCCCACAAGCAAGATGTGTAGTTCTTGGGCTGCGCTGCCTGATTTATGATCGCCTAGATCTTGGACCACCAAGGGGTTTTTAAAGCGTGCAACTTGCACACGGGATCTCCGAGATTTTTTCGCCCTTATCGGAGAAGGCAAGGTGAAGATTTCTCCTACCGTAAGATTATGCGCGGGGCTGAAAGACAGCGGTAAAAAGTAGCCAAGGAGTAGCAGTAGAAAGACTGCAGAAAGAGTCAGGAGCCCAGAGGAGGGAGCAAATGAGATAAGGGGTTGGGGCAGAAAGTGGAGACGAAAGCAGACGACAGAACATTGTTAGAGGGCAGGAAAGTGTGTGAAAGGAAAACATTGTAGAGAAGAAAATTTTCTCTCGCTATCGGGATTCGAACCCGAGCCCTATTGAAAGAGAGGCAAACACCTTAACCAGAGAGCCCCCCCCCCCAACCACCCCCACCCCACTCTATTCTTATATTTTTTACTAAAGCAAACTTTATGAAATAAAAAATTCCACTTCCAAATGAAACATTGTCCATCAAAGCAGCCCACCTCCTAAACGATGTAAGTTGTGTTGGCGGGGCCTATTAATTAACAATCACACAGCACAACCAACGAATAAAGCAAACGTATCAGAAGGAGAAAGGGAACGATAGGCTATGCAAGGCTACTCGAGTAACGTTTTACTGTGTCCCCAAGTTGCGCTACCTTGCTGTTTAACTTTAAACGTTAAAGCATTCTATTGCTCTACTTGCATTGTCCAAATTTAGTCTCCCTGAATAACGCAGAAGTTATGACGTCTTGAAAAACTTAAGAAGGTGACTCGTAATAATAATAATAATGATAATAATAATAATAGTAATATAATGATAGTAATAATAATAATGATAATAATAACAGCTATAATAATATTTTTAAAATCCATACAGAGTCGATAACGTCAACATACTTCTCTATGCAGGATGCCGTGTATATGAAGCCTGATATCCTCCCCCGCCTCCCCCGGGCGTGAAAACACACAAACACACACAAGCACAGACAGACAGACGCACACACACA